CACGAAACCGAAATCGATTTCCCGGTAGGGGGGCTCTCCGTTCCACTTCGATGTCACCCCCTCACCTCCGATATATATATATATATATATATATATATATTATATATATATATATATATATATATATATATAAATAATAATAATAATAATAATAATAATAATAATAAAAATAGTAATACTAATAATAATAATAATAATACTAATAATAATAACAATAATAATGATAATAATGATAATAATGATAATGATGATAATAATAATATCGGAGTAGGGCCCGGGGGCGGCCCGGGGCGCTGCCAGTAATCTCCATGGGGGGTGCAGGGCGCCCCCAGGAGCGTCCGAAGCGTCCCGGAGGGCCCCTGGGACCGCCAGGAACAGTTCGAGACCGCTCAAGACGGCCCGCGAGCGCTCCAAGACGCGCATAGATAGCCTCAGGAATGGCCAGGAAGGCCCGAAGACGTTCCAAGAGAGCTCCATGAGGCCCCGAAGGCATCCCAAGAGGCCTCCCAAGAGAGCCCCGACAAGGCAAAATTGTAGATTTTTATTGTTTTTTCAAGGTTTTTGGCCTCGCTTTTTCGGGGTTCCGACGCTCCAAGGCTGTCCAAGAGTCTCCCAAAACCGCTCCAAGACGGCCGAAGAGGCCCCCAAGACCGCCCCAAGACGGCCCAAGAGACCCCCAAAATCGTCCCAAGACGGCCCAGGAGAGCCCCAAGATGGCCCAGGAGCCGCCCAAGACGGTTCCAGGAGAGCCCCGACAGGGCTTCAAGACTGCCTAAGCGAGCCCAGCGGTCCCCAAGAGGGCCCCGCGAGGCCCCAAGAGGCCCCAAAGAGGCCCCCAAGAGCCTCCCCGGAGGCCCCCAGAGGCCCCCAAGATGCCCCAAAATGGCCCTGAGCGCGCCCCAAGACGCCTCCAGGAGAGCCCAACAGGCCTCCGAGAGGCCCCCAAGAGGCCCTCAGGAGGTCGTCCCCATCATGTTCCTGGAAGGCGGTCTGGGAACATGATTCCGCGCCTTGGAGGAGTATTCTGCGCCTTCCGAGGCGCCTTGGACGACGTACGTATGTTTCTATAGATTGTCCTTCTCCTGCGTACACAATCCTAAATGTTTTACGTATGTTTTTTTTTTTTTTTTTTTTTTTTTTTTTTTCTCTCTCTCTCTCTCTCTATGTATATATAAATATAAATGAAGAGGGGGTCCTGGACCAGGGGGGGGGCCTCACATTGCCCAGTGGCTGTGGTCACCCCCCCCGCCGGAGACGCCAGGACGCTCCCAGGACCCTCTAAAATTGCTCCAGGACGCCCTCAGGACGGCCCAAGAGAGGTCCGAAGCGGCCCGGGAGCACTCCAAGACGGTTAAAAAGCTGCCAAAGCGTCCCAGCAGGTCTCCGACAGCACTCTCGGGAGGGGCCCAATAGGAAATTGTCACTGATTTTTAGTGGGTTTTGAAGGGTTTTGGCGTTCTCCCCAGTTCGGCTTCCAGACGCTCCAAGGCGGCCCAAGAGGCCCGAAAGATCGCCTCAAGACGAGCCCAGAGGCCCCCAAGAGACCACCGAGACAGCTCCCAGAACACTCCAAGAGGAGCCCCAGATGGGGAACACGAACTGACATTTCGAGCCCTCGCCCACCAGAAGCTCCCCAGAGGCCCCCAGGAGTCCGCAAGAGGCCTAGAGAGGCCCCCAGGAAGCTCCAAGAGGCCTCCAAAAGGCGCCGAAAGGGCCCCGCAAGGCTTCCAGACGCTGGTGATAATGACAATGATGATTATGCAGGGCGGCCTCAGGCCCACAACCTAAATCCCCAATATTGCTCACGCGGCATGCAAGACGCTGCGGAGATATCCTCGAGTTCGGCGGGGGAGCTTCGGAGACGACGGTGACGAAAAAGATGACGATGATGACGACTATGATGAAGTTGACGATGATGATGATGATGATGATGATGATGATGATGATGATGATGATGATGATGATGATGATGATGATGATGAGGAAGAAGAATATTATGATGATGATGTTGACAGTGGGAATGATGATGATGATGCTGATGGTGATGATGATGATGATGTTGATGATGGTGATCGTAATGTGAGTGATGACGATGATGATGATGGTGATGCTGACGATCATGATGACGATGACGGTGATGCCGTTGAGGATGGTGATGCTGACGATCATTATGATGATGCTGCTGATGGTCAGGATGATAACGCCGATGCTGATAATAATGGTGGCGATGCTGTTTATGGTGTTTGTTATGCAGGAGTGGGCGGATGATGGAGAGGATGACGATGATGATGACGATAACGATGACGACGATCACGACGACGACGATAATGATGACGATGGCGATGATGAGGATGATTATGTTGATAATTCAGGTGACGATATTGACGATGATGACGACGATGGCGATGACGACGATGGTGACGACGATGTTGCTGCTGATGGTGGTGATGATGACGATTGTGATGATGTTGATGATCATGGTGATGATGACGATGCCGCTGACGATGACGCCGGATATGATGGTGATGGGGATGGCGATGATGACGATGACGATTATCCTAGCTCGAACTTGAGCGCGCGCGAAGCGCGCGCGATGGTTCTAGCATATATTTATTCACTTATTTTTTTTATATATATATATATATACACATGTACAAAAAGATATACAGTACACGTTGCAGTAGGAGCCTGGATGATAGCTATTTTGCGGCCACCACTAGGAGCTGCATGTGGAGCTGGATGGGGATATGCGTTGGGGTATGGATTGTGATGTGGGGTACGGATTGTCGCCTCATGGTTAGTAGGATAAGTCGTCCAATCAACGGTGGGGGCGTGCGTAAACTCTACACGGGGTATGGAATTGGACTATGAGTTGCATTGGGACATGCATCATTATTACAACAGACGTTGTAATTGGGGCTGTAGCAGGATACGGTGCGAAAATCGTAATCGTGGTTGTTGTGGGAGATTTCCAGGGGTTGTAGGAGTTGTGGTCGGTGGTGCAGTGAATTAAGCAGCAGCAGGAAGTGTCCCACCATTTGTGGTATGTACAATCGTGGGATATGCGGGTGCTGTATAAGTATTTGGGATACGAAGTGAAGTAGGACACTTGAATTGAATAGCAGGATTAGTATGAGGAGTTGTCGTCAAAGATGCTACAGTCATTTATGTGTGAGTTGTGGGTTGCGCCACGTTGCCTTCTGTAGTTGGGCATGGGATATTACCATTTCTACGATCACAGCAATGCTAGCCGTATTGCCAACCCCCGTGTGACCTGTAGCGAAAAGCTAGACCATTGGCTGTGCGAAAGAATCCGATTAGGACTAGGAGATGTAGTAATATATGTGCAGGATTCTGCAGTATGATCTGCAGTGGGAGTCGTACTACTTGATGCTGATGGCGTTACACTACGAACTTCAGTCGGAGATGTACTAGGAGGTGTAGGTTAAACCGTCGTAGGAGATGTGGTGAACATTGCATGGCAATCTGTAATACATCTTGTAGTAGAAAGTGTGGAAGGAGCTGGTGCAGGAATTGTAGGACAAGATGTTATGTGAACTGCAAAATTGCCTGATGTAGGACTCGCAGCACGAGTTGCAGCCGGACGTGTGGTGGGAGCTGCAGTCAGGGATGTAGTATAATTGGCATAGGCCTTGTAGCCTGTAGTGTAGCAATAATTGTGGTAGTTGCTGTCGTGAGAGCCATGGGAATTGTATGATTGAGTGTGATTCGGATTGAAGTAAGATCGGTACTGGACGTTGTACAGAAATGTGGAATATAGAAGGCATTTCTGTAGGACTTGTAGTGGGAGTTGGGTAGCTGTTTGTAGTGGGGATTGCCATGGGAACGGTTGTGGGAGATGTAGTAAGAGCTGCAACATACGCTGTAGCCGAAATTGTGTCAATAGCTTTCGTGGAAGATTCATAGTGAGCTGCAGTGAGAGCTGTGCTACTGGCTGTTATTTGGATTATATTAGGAGCTGTATTGTAAACTGTACTACTGGTTGTAGCAGGATCAGTCGCTGGATCTGCAGAAGGAAACAGCATACGACGAGCAGGAACGGGGTTGGAAGACAGCAATTAGGATGAGAGCGGACGATTGGAGGAGAATGAGGGCGGGGACGGAAGAAAAGGAAAAGTACGAAGTCTTGAGCACAAGGCCACATGTATGACCACTTGGGGCGAGCACACACACACACACATATATATATATATATATACGCACGTATAAATATAAGATATGTATTTATTTGTTTATATACATACATGCGTGTATGAGATCGCATGGTTCCTTCGACAGAGGAGGATGAGAAAATCAGGGAGGAGGAGGATGGCGAATGAGGAGGAGGGAGGAGGAAGGGGAGCGGCAGTTAGATGGAATCTCTAGGATCGAGGTTTGTGGGCGGTTTCATTGTTTTCTCTCTGCGGAAGCCTGCGGATCAAGAGGAGAGGAATGGAATGATAATAAGAGGAATTGCGAGGTTTAGGGTCGAACTAGAAGGCATCAAGGGCAGGGGAGGGAAAGGATGGAGACAGAAGGTTGGACGAATGAGGATGGATCAGCGAGGGGTATGTGGACGGCACAGTAGTCAGACGTTCAGCAGCGCGTAGGCAAAGCAATGCATCGCATTGATATGCGCGAAATAAGAGGAGGATGGAAAGGGGAGAAGAGGGTGATATGACAGGAGGGAAGGGCACAAGTGGGAAAGCGAGAATACGAGCCGAGCTCGAGGCTCCAATCGAGACCACAGGCAGGAGATGGAAGAGGAACGTAATGAGGTAGCGTGAGGAGGATAAGGGGAGATCAGGGAGGAGGAGCGGCCGACGAGAGCGCACAAGCAACAGTCGCAGAGTGGCTTCCGTCTCCTTTAGAACCAGCCGGCCTTTTCACTTAGGTACGCAGTCTTGCGCGCGGCTCCCCGGGAGAGGGTGTTTCGTTGTTTCCCGCGGCTAAGCCGTGCGCTCGCGTGTCGGCAACCTGCCAGGGCCTTTTGGGCCGTTTTCAAGGCAGTGCGTATGGAGCCGTTGGGGACTCCGGGAGCCCAGTCTGTTGATCCTCTGTGACATGATTGCCTCCGCTCCTAAGCGGGCAGGCCAGAAGCTTCGATATAAAGAAGAATATTGCAGCAGCCTGTGCACTCCAGCCCGCTCGCTCCACTGACGAACTCACCAACCAATCCAGGATCCCATCCACCGTTCGACGTGCTGTCGTCGTGATCGCCCCCCTGCATCGACAGCCATCATCGTCCATGAGCCTTCGATCGATCCCGCAACCCACACTGCGTGATCCGCTCTTCGACGCCGTGGTGCTAGGTGTGGAAGAGGGATTGGCTTGGCCTGGTTGGCAGTCAGGAAAGGCGAGAAAGAGAGAGATGGAGAGAGGGAGCAGGGAATAAGGAGTAGTGAGACGGAGAGTAGGGATTAGTGGGACGGAGGGTAGGGAGTAGTGAGACGGAGGAAGAGGAGGAGGAGGAGGAGGAGGAGGAGGAGGAAGAGGAGGAGGAGGGATGGGCGTCCAGGCGTGTGGCGTAAGGCGGCGGGTCGAGCGCCCCCCCGACGGCCTTCGAAGAGAACCATCTGGCTAGTCGTCATCCGATCCCCCCCCCCCCCCTCGCTCCCGCATTCCTGCAGCACCCCCTCGCTTCTTCTTTTCTCTTGCAGAAAGCACCTCCTCGTCCGTCGGCAGGGCGGGGCCGGGCCTGAGACCTCCCCACCCCTTCTTGTGGACCCCGCGCCGAGCACATGCGCCTGTAAAGTTTCCCGCGGTTGCGCGGATGAGGGGGGGGCAGGGGGCGGGGGAGGGCAAGCTGGGTGTGCTCGCGTCATATCTGACGTGCTACCCCTCCCTCCTATCCCTTACCACGGCGTAGATATCCTCGCCATTCGCACAGTCGGATGTCGAGCAGGGCAATGATTGCGAGAGGGTACGCGATGCATGTTAGTTAGAGCACGGCATGGCATGGCATGTCGTAGAAGAGCACGGCAGAGCGTAGCATGCGGGAGGGGGAGGGGGGGCAAACCGTAATGCTCGTTTTAGCGCCGCGCCCGTTCGCTTTGGAAAGCTTCAACCGTCACACGGATGCAGGGGAGTCAAGCCAGAAGTTTCGCCATAGCGTTGCTTGCACTCGTCTCAGAAAGGTTCTAACAGCTACATTGATGGAGGTGGATTCTAGTAAATTGTGGTTCTCGCTTTTGTGTTGCGCGCACGCGCTTTTATAGCTTCCATCAGTTGCACGTATGGAAATCGAGCATGCTAAGAATTCTAGCCATGGCCTTAGCGCCTCGCCTTTTTGCACATGCGTCAAAAAGGTGCGCTGCAGGGCGGCTTCCAAACACGGTCTGTTGTATGTGAGGCGTCCTTCACTTTATGGTGGTAGACATGCACCCGAAGTTGCACAACAGGTTCACGGATGGAAGGCGGTTCTTTTTCAATTTGGGGCGTTCGTTTGCTGTTCTTGCATGTTGTGATGTGTGGCCAACCGTGTACATTTGGTTGAACAGTTGCACGGGCTGAGGGCGGCTCTTGTTCAAAGCGAGACAGGCGTCCGCTTGACAGTCTCTTGGACTTTCTGATCTTGTCCTCGTCGCAAGGACGCACGGATGTCGAGGATTCTTTGCGTCCTTGCTTCTGCGGCCCGTCCTTTGCGGCTTTCGCTGGCAAGCCCTTCGAGGTGTTGGCAGTCTGCCGCCCACGAAGTGCCAATTTCGGCGCCAAAGGCCCTTGCGTCCTTACCGCCCGTCCTTATTATACAGTGGGGACCCACGCCAAGAAACATCCTGCTTGCCTCCAGGGTGCCCTGGGTTTCTTGGGTGTCGAGGGTTTTGCTCTGGAAACCGTGACGTTCCCACTCCAAACATCAATGCACGTCCTGGGGTCTCAGGGCTGGGATTCCCGTGGAAGGTTTCTTGTGGTCTGCCTCCACTGTAGATTTCGACTGTAGCCAGAGGCAGGGATGCCAGCTCATTTTGACATGAGGCTCTCGTCCGGCTTTTGCAGGGCCGCCGGGCGTTCCTCCTCTTCAAGGGGGGGGGCGTTTGCCGCAGCGACGGCTGTGGAGAGACTTGGCACGGTGGGCGTACGGCAGCGTCGTCGATGGATTTTGGGTGTAATCTGGTCATCCTTCATCGTGGTCCTTCCTCCGCCGCCCTCCCTCCATCCTCTTCCCTAATCCAGGGCTCATTTCGATTCCTCCGCTTCGATTCGATTCAATTCCTATGGCTTCCGATTCCGATTGGATTCGACTTCGGATTCCGATTTGGGCTCCGACTTCTTATTGGAGGCCTACTAGCCTGCCGATTTCCGCCGACTCGACTTTTTCCGACTCGGCTGCCGAAATCTTCCGATCCGATTTAGTTCGGTTGCTGGTCCGACTTATCGATTCGATTTGGGGCTCTCCTGCTTAATCCTCCATCCTTCCTCCCTCCTCGTCCTCCCTCCTCTTTCCTGACTTTCACCACAACGCCCACCAGTCCAGGGTCGACCTGAAGCGCTGCGCTGGGCACATTCGTGAGCTGAATCCGTTCTGCTCTCGCTCTCTCGTGGGACCCTCTCGTGGATTGGTCGCGACTCTTAGGGGTCGAGGCCACCCCAGCGGGGCTGGAGCAGATGTCGGAGGATCGCGCCGCATCGCCGATGCATCGGCGACGTGGCGCGATCCCGAGCCCGACCTTCTCCATCCCGATCTCGCCGATGCATCGGCGATGCGGCGCGATTCGCCGTCCCCATCTACTCGGACCACATTTGAGCAGCCTTCGGCAACTGTGCTGCCAAAACTTCGTCCTCGACACAAAACGAGGCATCGGAACACGCTTCTCAAGCCGCTGTTCCAGATACCTCATTCAGGAGGGGAAAAACACACAGGCGCAAATTATCGGCGACTCCCAGGAAACTAGGGGAAGTGGGGGGGTGAAGACGAAAGCCCAGAAACTAGGGGAAACATGGGGAATCCGTGGATTTGTGTATTGGAATGGCCTCCGGCCAGTGCCGCCGATCCCGATGGCATTTGGCGGGGGGTGGTTCTGTTTTGTCTGCCTTGGGGCCTCCTGGGAGACCTCTTGGGGCGGAAGGCTCGATGTTTTCTGTTTTTCGCTACTGTTTTGGGGTTCTCTTGGGCCCAGGGGCAACATGGGGAGTCCATGGGCTTGTGCGCATTTCTGTGCGTATCCCCGAGCCCCTGCGCTCACGCGGCCAAGGCCGAGCGTGTAAGGACCGCCGAGGCCTTTCCACTGGCGGAGCACACGCGAAGTCGCAGGGTGGGCGCTCGGGCACCGCTCCTCCAGCGTGCGTCCAGGGCTATGCTGCTCCCATCGTACTTGAGGACCACATCCCAGGAATAATTTCGCCGTAGCGTTGTTGAATTTGCTCCCGTGTGCCTCGTGGATAGCCTCCTGGAAGGGCAGCGGATCCCTCCCCCCCACAAAAAAGAAAACGTCCCAGGCATAATTTCGAGGCCTGGAAATGGGCACCAGCACCATCACCAAATGCTCCCATCGTGCTATACTTGAGGACCACGTCCCAGAAACAATTTCGAGCATCCGGAAAAGTGCCGAGAGGGTGTTGAAAGAGTGTCGAAGCAGTGTCGGGCGAGGGTCTCCCAGGGCCCGACACGTGAACACCCTCGAGTGTCGGTATTTTCTTGGTGCTCGAAATTCTTTCTGGCTGTCAAGGCCAAAGTAGGTTGGAACATCAGAAGTCCAGGGATGCCCGTGACCGTGCCATCCGGGCTTGCTCTTCCCGTGCCCATCCCAGGGCTCGTTTCGATTCCTCCGATTCGACTCGGTTGGATGTCGATGGCTTCTGATTCCGATTCGATTCGAATTCATATTCCGATTTGGATTCCGATGTCTCAATGGAGGCCTACTAATCTGACGATTCCTGCCGATTCGACTTCTCCCGACATGGCTGCCGATTTCCGCCGATCCGATTCATTTCGATCGCCGATCCGACTTGTCGATTCGATTCTGGGGGCGCCTGCCATCCCACTTGATCTTCCCCGGCTTCCAGTCTATGTTTACTGCTCCTCGTTGTCTCGTTGTTCCCGGGAGAGGGGAGAGGGCTCAGAAGCGCCACCGCTGTCTGTCCTTCTGAACAGAGTCCTGCCGCAGCGCTGCCGACCCACACTGTAGTCAAACTCTGCCCTCGGAGAGGGGGAAGTTCAGTCGGCGCCGCTGACGCGAAACTGAGCACGGGTCGAGCTTGCGTATCTCCCCCACCTCCCATTTCCCCCCTTCCTTCTCTCAGGAGCGACAGAAGGACGTACACGTGCATGAATCCACGGTCCCACCTCTCAGTTCCCCCCCTCCCCCCTTTCTCCCTCTTCAATATCAGGGGCGGTGCGGAGCGAAGAGCGAAGTGCGTCGACCCAGGAGCAGGGATCCAGGGGGTGGGGGGGGGAAGCCACCCGGACCCGATAGTTGGCGTTTGCTGAGCGGCCCTGAGCGTTTATTGAACAGCCCTGCCCTGTTCGATTCCTTCTCTGGGGGTGCGTTTCCCAAGCGGCTTCGCGCGTCGGGGCGATCATTTTTTGGGGGGGGGGATCCTCTGCCCTCCAAGGGAGGGGGGATCGACGGAGGCGGGGGAAGGCTCTGCCCGGCAAGGCCAGGAGGGCGCCGGGAGCGAGCGCCTGGCTCGGCGGCGAGCCCCTGGGGGGGGGGGGGGGGTAGCGATGATCTGGCTGACCCAAGAGTCAGGGGCGTACGAAAACGCCCCTACCCTGGTTTACGAGGCGCTGTGCTCTGAACCTCCTGTGGGCTGACAGGGTGAACCCTGCGCATCGCGCGTGTCGCGCGGCGTCCTGGCGGCTCTCTGGCCTTTGGGAGCTCCCAGGAGGCTTACAGACCACGCACTTGTAACCCGGGGTAGGGGCGTTTTTGCATTCCTCAAAAGAGGGGGTCCCACGAAGAGGGGGGTAGTGACGGTGCAATGCAGTCGGCCCTGATTAGTAGGTCGACCCTGCCAAATCAAGGGTACCTTTCGGTACCCTCGTATCCTGTGCCTCGCGACCCATGCCTCCTACATCCCCCATGGCAGTGTGGCCCTCGGAAGGGTCCTGTGTCCTCTCGCGTGTCCTGTCCAATCAAGGCCGACTGTGGATCTGGTCCAATCGATTTGCGGGGCTGCAATAGGTTGGGGGTGTGCAATGCATTGAGGTGCGCACATGTGTTGCTGGATCTTCGCGTGCAGCACGCGAGTTCAATGCAGTGCAACACAATTACCTGGCGCAATACATTTACAATACAATTGCCCCAGCTCCTTTCAGCTGTACCCCCCTTTGGGGTCGACCGAAGAGGGGCTGGGCCTTCTCGGAAGGTTCGGAAGCCCCCTGGCCTTCGGAGACGTCCTGCTCAATTGATGGGGTCGGAGGATCACGTCGCATCGCCGCTGCTTCGGCGATGCGGCGCGATGCGGAGCCGACTTCCTCCACGCCGACGTCGCCGATGCATCATCCCACAGCAACGAGGCATCGCCGATGCATCGCCGATACATCGCCGATGTATCGGCGATGCGGTGAGGCCCTCCGACCCCATCTACTCGGACCCCATCTAGGAGGCCTTTAGCCTTCCCCGAGGGCACAGAAAACTTCTCGGAAGGCGCGAGGGCCTCTGAGTAGTGTCGCCGCCTGCCGAGGAGAAGGCTTTCGCCTTCTTGCTTTCCCCCCCCCCCGCTCGCCGCCGAACTGCAGCGAATGCACGAGAAGCTCGCTGCCGAAGCAGCACTGGAGCTGCTGCTAGCGAGGCCGTGCCACGCGCTGGAGAGATGGTGGGACAGGTCCAGGTGCCTGCGGCAGATCCGCCACCGTGTCAGCTCCGCGCGCTGTGTGGGGACCCTTTCAGCACCCGCAGGGCCGCCACCTGTGACACCTCTCGGCACCACCTCTTGAGGAGATTTCATGGGGCCAGCGAAGACCGTCTCGGGGCAGTCATGCCGGTCCCCGGTGGCTTTCTTGGACCATCTTGGGGCTCTCTTGGGCTTGTCTTGGGGATCTTGGGCAGCCTCGGCCCTCAGTCTGGGGCATTCGTCGGGTCATCTTGGGGCCGTCTTAGGCCGATTGGGATCCTTCTGGAGGCCCTCTTGGGCCAGCTTGGGGCTCTCTCGGGGCCGCCCTGGGCCCTCTTGGGGCTCTCGGTGAGCTCTTTTGGGCTCTCGAAGGCCGCAAGTGGGCAGATCGTGGACCGAAGAGCGTGGACGGGGAAACACATGGAACAAAAACATGACTGAATCAATATTTGTATCCTGGAGAGCGTCTTGAACGTCTATTGTGGCCTCTTGGTGGCCTCTTGGGACCTATGATGCATTCGTGAGTGCGTCTGAAGGCGAGGTTGGGCCGTCTTGGCGACCTTGGTGGCCTGTCTGGGCCGTCTTGGAAGTCATCTTGAACGCCGTGGGGAGCGCCAGCGAGGCATCGGAGCGCCCAGGAAGCGTGGGGAGGGTGGGGGGGGCGGTGCATGCGGCGAAGCCCTACCGGGAGGGTGCCTTCTGGAAGAACTCAGAGCCCCCCCCCAGCAGACAGCACACTGCCGCGCCCCAAAGTGCTTGGGGGCACTCTGGATTCTCGTGCGAGATGCTTTCAAAGTCGCCGGTCGACTGGCCAAGTGAGCCTGAGTTCGCTAGCCGTGCGATGCAATACCAGATGTGACTCCTCGGAGGAAGGGGAGGCGACACCACCACCACCACCACCACCACCACCACCACCACCACCACCACCACCACCACCACCACCACCACCACCACTAGGGGGGCGGCTTTCAGCGAGGGTGTCCACGATGCCTCCTCGAGCTGGAGGAGAAGGGATGTCTCGAGCGAGAGGTTGAGACAACACCACCAGGAGGACCTTCTCTGGCGCTTCGCGCTGGCGTTGGCGGCGTGGCCGTTCTTTGCTCCCAGAGAGAGAGAGCCGTGGGTCTGGCAAGGAGGTTCAGTGGCGCGCCCGACTCCCTCTGCTGTGCGCGACGTGCGAGGCCTCGTGTCCCGATGCGTCTCCTCCTGCAGGCCGCCTCGAGGTTCGAGGCGCGGAGGACCCGGGGGGCCGAGATTCGAGGGTCGACGTTTTCGCATGTTGCTCTCATCCTGTCAGGTGCTCCAGGAGGCTTCTCGTCGCCACGGGCGGCTTGCCCTCGCAGTCTTGATCAGACTGCACCCCGGGATAGGTCCCGGGGTCGAGTCCTCTCGGTTTGCTCCTTGGGGTATGGCCCGTTGGGACCTGTCTTGAAACACACACTGCCGGATGCATCCGCGCCATATGCACAATGACCGATCCGTTCCGTCCGAGCAGAGAAGGGTGCTTCTCATTCGGAGGTGGATAGACCTCCTACCCTGACACGTCGACTAAGGAATTGGCCGTTTTCGGTTCGCGAGAGGGCGTCGCGGCCGTCATTTTTGCGGGTCCAGGTCCGTCGGTGTCGGTCCCAGGCTGTTTTCACTTAGGGGAGGTTTACTAAAGGGAGACTTGTCCACCGCCGAATCATCTGCAGCATCGAGACCGGCCAGATCGGAGTCGCCACAGCTTCCATCGGCACCCTCGAGTAAAGACCTGGATGCGAGCCAATACGCAGCGCATCGCCCTGTAGGACCAGTCTCCTCGGGGGCTCTCCCTGCGGCGGCCGTTGCCTCGTACACGCATCCTGTTGGATTGAAGCGATGAGGAGGAGGGCGAGAGAACTGTGACGAGGAGCAGGGGAGGACAAGGATCAGAAGGTGAAGACGAGGACGAGGGCGAAGGAGAAAGAGGACGATGAACAGGCGGATGTCGACTAGGAGCCCCTTCGTGCCATTGTTCTTCCCGGGACGGCGACGACGACCACGACGACGACCACCACGACGACCACTTTGCGAACATGCGATTCCAAAAGGCAGTCTGGACCTTTACTTGTTTCTCCCTCTCCGTTGTAACCGCCCACCGAGTTTCTGAACCAACCCCTTTTTTAGGGGGCGCCATGTCGTACGTTCCAGCTCACGGGAGGAGCATTCCGCAATACGCTCGCCGTGGCCGTCATGCGAGCTGGCGCGCCCGCGGGTCAACTCACCAGCTTGAACGAAGTTCGGGGACGTCACAGGCGAGAGCGCCGTTCCTCAGCTTCGGGGCCTCTCCAGCCAAGGCGTCTCGGAGTAAGTTGTGAGGAGACATCAGGCGGGAGCCGCTGTCGTCGCATGTGCGCCGTCACGAACTTGGCCGACTTGCGTGGAGGTCTCGAGCGGGAGCGCCGTTCCTCAGGTTCGGAGCTTTCCTGACCAGGGCGTCTCCGAGTAAATGGAGAGGACGTACCGGGCGGGAGCCGTTTTTGTCGCGGCTGGACCGTGACCAATTTGATCGAATATCGTGGAAGTCTGGAGCGAGAGTGCCGTTCCAGTGTTTGGGAGCTTCTTTGGCCAGGGCGTCCCGGAGTACATTACGAGGAAAAATCGGGCGGGAGCCGTTGTTCGGCGGCCAGCGAGGGGGGGAAGTGAAAAGGGGCGGGCCTTGTCAGAAGTCTCGGAAGTCCCCCGGCCTTCTGAGAAATATTCTAAGCCTTCCCGGAGACAGACAAACACCTCTCAGAAGGCGCGAGGACTTCTGAGAAGTCCCGCCGACTTCTGAGAAGGCCGTCTCCTTCTCACTTCCCCCCCTCGCTCGCCGCCGAGGTGTCGTCGCAGTTGGACCTTCATCAACTTGGAGTGACTTTCGAAGGCGTCTCGAGCGAGGGCGCCGATCCCGAGTTCGGGGGCCTCTCTCTGGCCAGGGCGCCCTTGAGCAGTGGGGGTTCATGGCAAGAAACACCCTGCTTGCCTCCAGGGTGCCCTGGGTTTCTTGGGTTTCGAGGGTTTTGCCATGGAAAGCGTGGCGTTCCCATACCAAATATCCATGGACGTCCTGGGGTCTCAGGCTTGGGTTTCTTGTGGGAGGGTTCATGTTTACTGGCCTCCACTGTATAGCGGGAGCGGCTGTTGTCGTAGCGAAACGTTCACAAACGGGAGTGACTTGCGAGGAAGTCTCGAGCGAGAGCGCCGCTCCCGAAGCTGGGGGCCGCCGAAGCCGGGGCGTCCCGGGGCAAGGTGCGAGGAAGCATCGAGCGGCAGGCGCTGTCGTCGTAGCTTTAAGTCGGGCCTGTCCCTCTACAGGGGGGAGATCCAATACTAGTCCAAACATAGTCTGGGGACGATTTTTTGAATATGTTATGACTATGTTGGAGCATTTTCGGGGGTATTTTTTATGTTTCGTCCAATCCGCCTGTAGGGGGGACAGGCCTGACCTAAGGCAAGGTACGAGGAAACATCGAGCGGGAGGCGCTGTCGTCGTGGCTGGGCCTTCGGGGAGGCACGGTTGGAGCCGAGCCCGCGCTCGAGCGGGAGGCTCGGTCTCAAGGAGGTGCGATGCAGCCCGCGTCGTAGCGAGGGCGCCCAGGGCTGAGCCCACAGACCAGCAGTGCCCGTTCTCTAGAAATGAGTGTCCGAGGAGGAAAAGGGCACCCATACCTCTACAGACAACCCGTACAGTGAAGCATGGGCCACCTTCCCAAGGGTACCCTTGCATCCTTGGCTCCTAATTAGGTCCATTCTTGGGCACTTTCGGTGGCCTCGCCCCGCTCGAAAAGCTTCGAGGTGGGCGTCCAGCAGTCGGGAGCCTTGAGACGGGTGTCAATGCCGACGGGGGTCAGCCAGAGCGCCCAATCTTGCAGGATCCTGCAGGGCCTGGGTCGCATTGGCCCGAGTTTGGGTGCAGGATCCTGCAGGATCTTGCAGGATCCTTCGCGTTGACCCGGTTTTGGGTGCAGGATCTTGCAGGATCTTGCAGGTTTATGAAAGGCCTGACTGACCTGGGTCTGGATTGACCCGGGTCAGAAGATCCCCGAAGCAGTGCCCGTTCTCTAGAAAAGACTCAAGCAGTGGCGAAGCGTCCCTGCTCGCCTTTAGGCCTACCGAAGAATGTTCCAAGAACTTTTTGTGGTTTCCAGGTAACGTTCTTAGAACATTTCTGGCTGGGACTGTCTTGTTGTAACACATCGGGTTTATACTCTAAGAACATTGTTTTCTTCTTGGGACATGTTTGGGTTCTAAGGAAATTTCGTGGTAAGCCTATAGGAATGCCGGGACGGTCGGTCCCTGCTCAAAAGAATGTCCGAAGAGAAAAAGGTACCCATACCTCTACCCTTCGCCCGTTTTCCCCTTGTTTGGCCTCCTGGGCGGCCCTCGTCGCCGCCGCTGGATTCGCCTCGAAATTCTGGTCAGAGCGCACCCCAGGAGAGGTCTGGGCAGTAGCGGTATCGGTACCTTTTGGTTTCCCCAGGAATTGAGCCCATAAATCAGCAGTGCTTTTTCTCCAGAAGTGAATGTACGAATACGACCGCGACCATGACCACGACGACGACGACCACAGAAGCGGTAATGCCGACTACGGCGACGGCAACGGCGACGGCTACGGCGGCAACGTCGGCGGCGGCGGTGGCGAGCTGCGCCCGCGCCCGCGCGCAGTTCCAAGTGGCGTCTGCCCTGGCGGGCGCGCCGCTGCGTCTGGTGGGCCCGCCTCCTGCAAGTCGTCGCCGCCGTTGTCGAGGTTGAGGTTGTCAACATTGTCGTCGCCGTCGCCGTCGCCGTCGAGGTCGTCGAGGTCGTCGCCGTTGAGGCCATCGTCGTCGTTGTCGTCGCCGTCGCCATCGTCGTCGGGGCCGCTGTCGCCGTCGTCGGTGGCAAAGGAAGCGGCGGAGGAGGGAGGAGGGGGATGTGAGGGAGCGAGGAGGGAGGGAGGGAGGAGGGGCATGCAGGGAGGGAGGGAGGAGGAGGGGCAGAGGACAACAGGAAGGCGGGGAAGGCAAGTTTGGGAGGAGAGGGCATCCTGGGGAGCAGCAGCGGGGTGGGCCCCTCCCCTTCTCGGGGCATCCGAGAGAGCAGCGCGTGTGTGTGTGTGTGTTGTGTGTTGTGTGTGTTGTGTGTGTGTGTGTGTGTGTTGTGTGTGTGTGTGGTGTGTGTGTGTGCGTGCGTGCGTGCGTGCGTGCGTGCGTGCGTGCGAGTGTGTGAGTGTGTGAGTGTGTGAGTGTGTGTTGTGTTGTGTTGTGTTGTGTTGGGTTGTGTTGTGTTGGGTTGGGTTGGGTTGGGTTGGGTTGGGTTGGGTTGGGTTGGGTTGGGTTGTGTTATGTTGTGTTGTATTGTGTTGTGTTGTGTTGTGTTGTGTTGTGTTGTGTTGTGTTGTGTGTGTGTGGGGGGGGGGAGGGGGCTCTTTGCCCCTCCTTGGGCGGCATGGCCGCCCGGACCGCTGCGGGTCTCCACGACGGTTCCCCCTTGTGCCGGGGGGCCCCCAGATGGGGTGGTGACCACACCGTGTGGTGAGTCGGTGGGGATTCGGGGTCACCGCACGTTTTTGGCACTTGGGTCGTTCTCCGAGGATGTTTCGGGCGACTGGGGTCTCCAGGGTCCCAGAACCGTGTGGTGACAGACCTTGCGGTGCGGTCTTTGCGGATTTCGAGGTCACCGCCGGGTTTGTCCCCACACGGATTGTTCCGCGTGCCTCCATGGTGTAGAGCAGTAGAAGGAAGAAGGAGGAGGTTGAGGAGGACCAGTCTCAACCACAGTCGCATCATCGATATTGCAAGAAACACGCCTTCCAAGTTCCCTCTTCATAGGTCCCTACAAGCATCTGTTTGCTCTGCGGGAAGGGGCCCATTAGAAGGCAAAGACGTGAGAATCCTCAATCGCTCCAGAACGCGCTTCCTGAAGATCCCACACCGCGGATCACCGCGACTGCTGCGTTTTGACAATCCTAAACCGTGCCAGAACACCATTCCTGGAACTGCATCCGCACGAAGCTTTGAATATGTAGAAAGCTTTTAAGACGAATGTGCGTGGCGCTCAGGCGAGAGCCGCATTTTGAAACCGAACCGCCCTCCATCGTCGAAGCTGCTGCAAACTTTTAAGACGAACGCAAGGCGAGAACCACATTTTGAAAAGAATCAAAGCTGCTGCAGACTTTGAGGACGAATGTGCGCGGCGCGCAGGCGATAGCCACATTTTGACACCGACCGGTCTTCCATCCTTGAAGCTCGTGCAGCATGCTTAAGACGAATTTGCACGGCGCTAAGGCGAGAAGCGCATGTTGAAAACGACCTGTCTTCCGTCTTTGAATCTGTTGTAGCATGTTTAAGACGAATGTGCGCGGCGCTCAGGCGAGAGCCACATTTTGAAATCCACCCGCCTTCAATCCGCGAATCTGTTGCAGATTTCGAGCTCCAGGAGCTTCATTGGTGAGGAAGTCCAAGGGGAAGCGCTGGGCCCGCCTACCAACACTTCCAGGGGTGCGACAGGGAGGAGTTACCCATAAGGGAAAGGGATGGTGGAGGAGGAGGAGGAGGAGGAGGAGGAGGAGGAGGAGGAGTAGGAGGAGGAGGAGGAGAAGGAGGAGAGGAGGAATAATGCGGAGGAGAGTGTGGGCTACAATGAGGAGTTCGTGGAAGCGGAGCATTTTCAACGCCGTGAAGGCTGACAAGTTGGATATGCTGAAAATGCACGTTTTACCACGGGAATTTCAAGATGTGGGTTTCTTGGGGGCTTCTTGGGAGGCCTCTTGGACGCTTTGTGGGGTGTCTTGGCGGCCTCTTGGGTCGTTTTGAGTTCATCTTGGGCGTCTTGGAACGATCTTTCGGCGACTTGCGGCTCTCGTGGAGCGTCAAGTGCTGTCGTGCAGCTCAAGAGCGAGCCC